ATGCTTTGGGTTAAGCAGCTGGACCAAGGCCAAAGACACGAGGGAAGATTGCTGCTGTCTTATACTTAAGGGTTTGTGCTCCAGGAAAATGGCATCTTTGTCTGGTACACTCATCTAGTAAATGGCCCTAGATGACTGAGGCTGCATCCTGACAAGAGTTTTGTGTCCGAATTATAGAACTTGGATACCTTTGTTAAATGTCCACTCAGCTTAGTGGTGATGTGGTGCATGCCATTGCTTCAACCTGATTGGCTGGCTGTAACCGTGTGATACCCTGGAGGTGGGGTTGTCGCTGCCCCCGTGGACTCTGAGCTTCTCCTGTTTTCAACTGGGAACAATTCCTGGCTGGTGTTTGCTGGTTTGCCCACACACCTTGACTCATAGAGCATTACCATATTACAAAGTCCTACTTACAGTATTGTTCAAAACACTTAGGCTGTCAAAGAAAATAATGTTGAACGGATCTGTTGTATCAGTGACAGTGTCAGCTTAGCCATTTCAAAACCCGGAATTTGTAGCAACTGTCCAATATCCCTGGTTTGACTTATCAATACCTCTTTGAGTTATTTAATTACTTAATTACGAATTAAGTTAATTAATTCACTGAGTTGATGCTGAAATTTAGTGAATATACTGAATGGCTGAGGTGCCCCTGAGGAGAGGTTTGGGAACTGAAGCCGTGTTCATCTAGCCATCCAACTAGATATCAGTAACTTTTTGGAGAACAGAACACATTCTTGTTAGTTTTTTATTCTGTTACTCTTCATTTTGCATATCATTCTAATGTTAAATTGTGTTTTGTCTGAACAAACAGACAGTTACTACACAGATAAATAGCCTTAAATGTTTTCTTTGACTGCCTAAGACTTTTGCACAGTACTGTAGGGTTTCTATCAGAGAGGGACACAAAACATCTGTCGAATGTGAGAGAAACATTCCCTCAAACACCCCCAACCCCTCTCATGAATACTCTGTACCCTTTTGATCTTTCGTATAATAATGCCCACACTCACATTCTCACATGTCCTACTTTTCTTCCCAAACAGTCATTTTGTGTATATATTAGTGTTATATATTGATAGCAGTGGTTCACTGCTCATTTGTTGGCAAATCGCTGTTTCCCCCCCCCCCAGTAAAGAGCCGCAGTGATTTGGGGGGGGGGGGGGGTGGCGGCTGCATGTTCAGTGGACCGGAGGCCAGAGTCTGTATTGTGTGGCTGCTAGTGGCATCCTCTCCAGCTGGCGTGTGGATGCTTGTGTATAGCTGTTAGCGCTGCCACCGTCCACGGCGCGGTGGATTGTGACGGAGTGTCAGCGTGAGCCAGTGTGGCCTCTGTACAGCAGAATCGCCCACCAACAGGAGTGTTACACCCCTAGACCAGGCCTGTGTAAAGATTATCCTCTGGAAGGCGTTTCTGCTAATTGCTGGTTATTGGGGGGAGGATTGTTAGGTATTCGATGATGTTAATAGTTGTTAAAATAGCTGTTTTTCTTATCCTGTTAAATGCTCTCCTGGGGTGGTTGTGGTAGTTCTTGGCTCCGGGACAGGGTTTGTTTTTTAGCTGTCAAGCTCTGTCTGCCGAAAAGCAGCAGCGGCGAGCCTTTTTGACCTGGGTGGGGGGGGCGGTCCCCTCTCTTCTTGAAGTTCCTCAGGGAGGACCTGAACTACAAGGACCCCAAAGCCAAGCACAACAGCTTCCACGGGGCTGACCTGCTCATCAGCGTGGAGGACATGTGGAACGCCTGGACGTCTTCAGCAGGTTTGTACCCGCCCACACGAGGAGGCGATTCCTATTGGCTCTTGAGGAGAGAATGTTTGTTGTAAGTAGCCATTCAGGATTCTGCATTTCCTTTCTCTCCTCCCCTGTCATCTAGATGACATTGAGGCCCAGCTGTGTGCTTCTATGTCCACACACAAACAACCCGTGTTTCCCAGACAGCCTTTCTCCTCCTCCAGCTTTTGGCTTGGACTTGGGCTTGGGGGGGAGGGGCAGTTCTGTCTTTCTGCCTGTTGGTCTCTCCCAGTCCCACCCTTTTTAAACTGAGTGTTTCTCTGTGTGCATGTGTTTCAGTGTAAGTGTTTAAACAACTCCTCCCAAGCAGATTCATACAGATATACTGCATCCTGCCGGTTTCTCTGTCTTGTATAGTACAACTGGACGGTGTCTCCCTGGTGTATAACTAAACAGTGCCTCTCTGTGTGACTGCATACAACTGGACAGTGTCTCTCTCTCTGACTGACCACTGGACAGTGTCTCTGCTTGACAGTTTACCATTGGACAGTGTCTCTCTCTGTGACAGTGTACAAGTGGAAAATGTCTCTCTGTGTGACTATGCAACTAGACGGTGTTTCTCTGTGTGAAAACTGGACGGTGTCTGTGTGACTGTGTGAAAACTGGACGGTGTCTGTGTGACAGTGTATAACTGGACGGTGTCTGTGTGACAGTGTATAACTGGACGGTGTCTGTGTGACAGTGTATAACTGGACGGTGGAGGAGGTGGTGGAGTGGCTCATCAAGTACGTGGAGCTGCCCCAGTATGCAGACGCCCTGAGGAAGAACAACATCAATGGCAGTGCGATGCCTCGGTAAGCAGTGTCACCACCTTGGCAAAACGTTGACCCTCTGAGAGCAGAGGATTCTGGGCGCCAAACTGATGAGGCTGTGCTGACATCATGGAAGATGTCAGGCGAGGTTTTCGGGTGCATCTCGTGACTTCTTCTCCTCGTCCAGGCTGGCCGTGAAGAACGTCACCTTCACTGTATCCCTGCTGAAGATCCTGGATCGCAGCCACACGCAGAAGCTTCAGCTGAAGGCTCTGGACACAGTTCTGTTTGGACCCCCTCAGAGTGAGTGTCATGCTGGTCCAGATCATTAGTGGCTGAGCATTATGACATCATCGCTGTCTGCCATAATGCTTATTAAAGTATTTTTTGGTGGTCTGTACCCGGTTACATTAATTGGTACCTTGGTATTGCTGCCATTGCTTTCCCACGTAGCTCCCTTTCTTCACTGATAATAAATATAATGAAACATCCACCTATCCATCGTCCATCTTCTGCCGACTTAGAAGTGCCTCGGACCCTGGACCCCCAGGCTGGGGTTCACCCTGGATGGGATGCTAGTCATATAATGGAAGAGTTCACAGTAAACTTGGGATGTAATTAAATAGTCAGAGTTTCTCTCTGACCGGGAGTGCCCCCTCGCGCGCTCTCACGCTCCCCAAGCTCCTCTCATCCTGTTTAAAATTAGCCAGGCTCATTAGTATCTCGTTATGGAGTCACTGGTCCTCCGCGAGGTGAACTTTAGCACTGAGTGGAGAGGAGAGGATGACGGTGCGGTGAAGCAGGGACTCGCACACAACTTTCTCATTTAAACTGCATGGCTCTGGATTCTGTGTTTTTTTTTTTGGATTTTGTCAAGTACTTTGTGAAATTTATCTCTGAAATTCCACTCCAAACCATATAAAATTATTTTTTTTTGTCCCTGGCTCTGGGTCTTAATACTTCCACAGTGGTGCTTTGGCCCCTCCAGTCCCTCCCCCACTCACCATGCACCTATCGCAGCGCTCGACCCCTGTCACATGATGCTGTTGGCATGTGCTGCCCTTGCCTGCCGGCTCTTCTAATGGCCCTTTTTTCTGTCTTCTTACCCTACAGTTCCTCCCGTTTACACACAGCACAGCAGACTAATGGGTGTCTGCCATTTCCTCTGATTTATAGCCTAATTTTCCTTTTCCTTTTCATCATCTCCGGTGTGGTTCAGAAGCCTTTTTAGACCAAATGTTCCTTCCTCTTTTTCGGCCGTAGACCTGCATTGTGGGTGACTGTAAATTCCCTTTTCTCACTATACGGAAAATAGAATGATGTTCCTGTTTGACCTTACAAACTGCTTGCTGATGAACTAACCAAGTCGCTGGCTGCTTCTTAGATTTTTTTTTTTTTTTCTTTCTCGAGGAGTCAACGTTTTGCCCGGCAGGCTTGTCAGTCAGTCAGCTCAGCAGAGCGGTTTTCTCGACTCGGTCTTTTTGCCCAGAGTGATACATCGCGTGCAGTCATTGACTCTTTAGAGAGCAGAACTACAGGTGTGTGTGCAGAAAGAAGAGAAAAGGAGTGTGTGCAAAGACCTATTGATGGAGGAAGTGCTGGGAGGGTGTGAAAGGTGTATTTTGCAAGACCATATACCTGTCCTTGGCAGTTCCCTGTGTGCCTCTGAGATAGAAGGCGGCATTCAGACACTTGTAGAAGGGTTCCAATTGAGTTGTTTCCATGGAAACCCTTACGGGAGGACTCATCGGGTGGCCCCTGGGCAGCTGGATGTGATAGTTACGACCAGAAGGCCAATTGCACAAACTTCACTGTGATGTGACTTCATTGAATGCCCTCTGCGTTAACTGCATGCCCTAACAAAGGCCCTCACAGCAAGCCGGCTGGCTTTGAGCCACTGAAATCAGGGCAGTTCTTGTGTGCCGCCTACGAAATCACATCGCAAAAGTAATGAAAAGGAGGTGAGGATAACTTCTGATGATGAGCTGGTCGTTATCTTGCAGGTTGGGAATTTTGGGAAATGGTGAAAACGATATGGAGGTCATCCAGTACTTGGAGGAGTTCACACTCCAGACCAGAGTAATATAAGGAAATACCGCCCTACTGTCGAATGCGGAGGGAAGCATCTCTGTCCTGAGACGCTTAATCATTTAAGGTTATTAAATTTTTTTTTATTATGTACAGCTTTGATTTGGAAGCAACTTCAGTGACTGAGATACTGAACCTGGACAGTACACGGGGATTCCTGAATAAATCCTTTATTTACATTTACTCACAGAGTTGCACTTTGATTCACACTTTTTAAACTTCTCACAACTGTATTATGCGAAAAAGTAGCCTAAGCAGTGCCACCAAATGGCATAACCACAGATTCCTTTTCGGGTAACTTCCCGAGCATGTTTCCTTCAATCCCTATGCAGCCCTGGATGATACAGCCGTCCAGCTGATCATTTCACACAGCTGTGTAACGAGGATTTATAGCCCTGTGGCTATAGATTAACCAGTGGCTGCGGACCATAGTTGATGGTTAACCAGTTCCTGGCTCGCTGGTCTCCTGGGGAACACGCATGCACAGAAACTCCTCATTTTGGAGTTTTGCCCTGGAGAAGGAACAGTTCGGAATTGCCCGATCCCACCTAGAATTTCATTAATTGTGGATCTTCCACCCTTTCTCCAGTCATACTCGTTCAGTTGGTTGTCAAATGTGAGTCATACGCACAATAAACAAGGGTGCATAGCAGCCACCTGAGGCAAATATTCAGATCTCTGTCCCAGTCCATTAAGGTTTTCATCGCCCGTTCCTGAGTCAGCTTTTGATCTCCGCCCTCAGAAGGAGGAGGCTGGAAGGGATCAAGGATTCTTTCTCACTTTGCTCATATTTTGTCGGTGACATATCTGCTCTCTCTCTCGCTCTGAATAGCAGGGGTGTCCAAAATCAGGCTTATGGGGGAGTGGATGATACAGAGAGACCCCCATCCAAGATGTCCGTCTAAGGGGCTCACCCATAATACTGTGCATGTGCTGGGTTTACGTAATATGTTTTTTCCTCGATTTTCTCCCAACAGGATGTCGCACAGTTTTGGTATATTGGACAGCTGCTTGTCCAGTCATGCAGACACCCCCCCCCCCCTCTTCATGGCTGACCTTTGACCTCCTTGTACCCTCATCATCCTGCAGTGAACCCAGACAGCCACCTGAAGGACTTCATGCTGGTGGTGTCCATTGTCATTGGTGTGGGCGGCTGCTGGTTCGCCTTTATCCAGAATCGCTACTCGAGGGAGCACATGAGCAAGATGATGAAGGATCTGGAGAGCCTGCAGAGGGCAGAGCAGAGCTTGCTTGACCTGCAGCAGAAGTGAGTGCACCAGCGCCCCCCTTAGGTGGCTTTTTTTTTAGTATTATATTCGGCGCCATCTAATGGCCGATTTAGGTATCCATAATGAGAGGACATTCGTGTTTTGAACACTGCCCCCCTCCCATTATCCAACCTCAAAACGAAGGAATCTTTTAATTGGGTCCTTCTGTACTCATACCCTCCTGACGTTCCAGTAATCCACTTTCCAACTGGCAGCGAAGTAGCTCGCTCGTACACATGGGTACTTGGCAAAATGGTCCCTAAACTGTTAACCTTGGCCAGTATTGCATCAGTGTGTCCTTGGCCAGGGACCCACGTGTCATTGCACTCCCTGAGCTGGCAGCCGCTCGCTGGCCCGGCGTGACGGGGGGTGGTGCATGACACTCAGGTGTCTGGCAGATTACCCCCCCCCCTCTGACCCGGCACTTGGTGGGATCATAAAGACCCGAGAGGTATTTCCTGTTCCTAATGCCTCACTGGCTGGTCTGGCAGAGCCCCCCCAACTTTTCTAATTCCCGTCCCACCCTCACAGCTGCTGTAATTCACCCGGTGTCCATCCAGTTTTCCTGCTTCTGCCATGGCTGGTGGTGACATGTATTTTTCTCAGGGTGTGTTTGCTTTGCTTCTGATTAATGCCGACGTTAAAATAGCAGCAGGAACTGCGATGGCCCTGGATCTCCCGGAAGGACCCAAAATGGTGTCCCTCGTAGTGCCCGATTCAATGACAGAACAGGGGCACTACTGAACCCCTGCTATCTGCGTGTTTACACCTTCCGTGTGACTGCGTGTGTAAGAGACGCGCACTCGACTTCCCTTTATCCAAAAAGTGCAATGGCGGACATGCCTTTCAAGTTCGATGTGGACAGGAAAGTTAGACGGACATAACTAATAGGTTCTTCCTGTCACACTGGCATCTTTGCTGTCACTGTGGCTACAGGGGAGGCCTGCTCAGCTGCCACTAAGTTGCAAAAAACTATGACTGTGGTCACCGGATACTGTTGTGACACTGAGGCCGAACAGGCCTTGTATCTCCCGGTGATTGAAAGGCCTTGGGTTTGTACAGCTGTGTGCCATTCTGCTAAAGGGACAGTCCTGTGCACATAGGCATGGCCTTCACTGCAAGGCAGCAGGTGGACGGCCTTGCACTGCAACCACGGAAAGAGGCCTTCGCCCTCCTCAGCTCAAGCTGTGGTAGGGGCCGACAGAAAGGCAGGAAGTGACATGATGGCTTATACCTCACTTCCTGATAATGCATCAGTCGCTCAAAATTCAGCCACTAGCCTTTCATGTAAGTAAACCATGGTGGCGTCAGCCAGCATGAAGTCAGAAACAGGCTTAAACAGACAGCCGAAACGTTGACGTTAGACCAGATGGGACAGTTTTATAAGGGTCACAAGGCAGCTGAGTGGGGATATATTCACTTTTTCAGACTGTGCTCCCCCTGCTGAGAAAGCAGTGGTACTACATGTTCATTTTGTAATTTCATAAATACAGCGGTGCCTGCGGTTCAGGAACACAATCCGTTCCAGGAAAGTGGTCGCAAACCAATTTGTACTCGAACCAAGGCAATTTTTCCCATAAGAAAGCATTGAAATCTGATTAATTCATTCACAAGCCTACCAAATAATATTTTTTGTTAATTTATTTCCTGGTTTTATAGTAAAAACACAATATAGTGTGGCTACGGGCGGACTGAGGCATCGCGGGAGCAGAGAGAGGCATGGAGACTTGCTTGCCGGAAACATCATGCTCTTTATTAACAGTCCTTAAAAGGACCACAACAGGCACCCAACAAGCACTGAACCGAATACAGACGGGCAACACAAGGTTGTCAGACTCCGAACTGCAAGATGCACACACGGTGGAATATTCATACACGCTAAATACATGTGAAGATCGGATCGGGTACACACAAGACACAGGCAAACACATGCTCGACGATAGGGAAATGCTACCATTAACATTAGGAACAACAACAGTACAAGGGCTATTTACATGCTATTTACAGCATGCTGGGACATGTGCCCCGCCAGTGCTACACTAGTATAAAAAAAAGGAAAATTTTGTACGCGAACCAATGCATTTCTTTCACGAAATTGTTCATAGGCCAATGTGTTCGTGAACCACAGGCTCCACTGTGTCGCTTTTCCATTTTATCGTATCTTCTTATACCGTATCCAAAGGTGAATGACACCTCCGCTGCCCATGAGATTTGAACTCACAACATTGGGCGCAGATCCCTGCACAGTGCCCCCTTTTTTATCTAAAGCTATTTCATTTTTTTTTTATCTTCCTTGTATTCGCTGCCACCATCTCTGTGAGGGCAAAATGACTCTGACTCTGAGCTAACCTGAGGCAAAGCTCTAGTGTTTTAGAGCATTGATCCTGTTATGTCATCCTGAACGAGGCTGTGGAGGCTCATCCCTCTGCAAATACTTTTTTTTTCCATGCACTAATCCTCTGGGTCCTTCAGCCCCCCCCAAGTTCCCTTGTGTTTACGACGCTCTTGAACTCATCTGCTTCTTAGGCACAGGGCTGCTGACTTTCAATATCCACTTGAAGTTGCCAAGACATGCCTGCAGTTAGCATTCCAGCCCCATGCAGGCACATACAAGCACAGAACCATCGCATGGGCAGAGTCTTTCACACAGTGGTGACAGTCAAACGCATATGTATGTGGGGAGATGGGGACTGTCACACACAATATCGCACTCAGAAAAATCCCATGGAAGTAGTTTCCTGTAGCGAGTTTTACAAATAAAGTAAGATTCTGCAGAGTTGTGGTTATGAGCTATTTATTCTCCCATAAACACCCACCCATGCTTCTGCACAGATATTGAGGGTAGACTGTGATGTCACTTCCTGTGAGAGGTCATATCCTGTTTTCTTGTATAGAATGACACGTCAGGTGCCAGCAGGACGTATTATGTGCAGAAACACCCACAGGAGCTCAATGGAAACTTCCCACATACGATAAAGTTACAGTAGTTATTGTTGTTGGGAACATGAACAGTGCAGCATTGTGATGTGTGATATGCTGTAATTGGTGCTTTGATTCGACATATTTGTCAGCGTATCCATGGTGACACATATATGTTAATGACATGCATCTGCGGTGCCCCTCGTGTGTAATGCCACACTGTCGGATCTGTAATCTTCCATAAAAATATATCATCATAATGCAGGTTTTGTTCTCTGCTCAGCAACTTGATCGTCCTCTCTTACTCCCCCCCCCCACCCCCCCCCAGACTGCAGAGAGCACAGGAGGATCACCGCACAGTGGAGGTAGAGAAGGTAAACCTGGAGCAGAAGCTAAGGGAAACGGCGAAGCAGGAGGCCCAGCGGCTGAAAATGCTGCGGGAGGGAACGGAGAACGAACTGAGCCGTCAGAAGTACGCCGAGGAGGAGCTGGAACAGGTAGGGGGCCGAGTGTTTGGAGCAAGAGCCGCTGTTGGGGTAAAAGCACATCTGCTCACTGCTTCGAGGACAGCAGAGACCACGTAGAGGTGCACTAGCCGAATGTGCGGCGCGCTGTGTGATTGCGGAGTTGGACTTTGTTGGGTTTCCACGTTAACTCCACAAATGCTCATCGTGGGTCATTCGAAGCTCTGCTCAAATAGATTCCAGGGTGTCATGTTGTGGTGGATCTCATGGTTTCCGCAGATGATATCTGGACCTCCTGGGAGCTGAGCTCTGTGTGCTGAGCTCTTTTTTTTTTGTTAATGGTGACACTGAAGTCCACTGTTACGTGTCAGTCCTGCAAGGAATGTAATTGAGTATACATCTTCACCCACACAAACAGCGTGGTGTGGATTTAAGGTTTCCCTAACGTGTCCTGGTGTTTGATTTTGGACCCCCCTGTCCCAGGTCCGTATGGCCCTGAAGAAGGCAGAGAAGGAACTGGAGTCCCGGGGCAACTGGTCCCCGCCGGAGCCGCTCCAGAAATGGCTGCAGTTGACACACGAGGTGGAGGTGCAGTACTACAACATCAAGAAGCAGAACGCTGAACGCCAGCTGCTGGTGGCCAAGGAGGGGGTGAGGCCTTCGCTTCTGGGGGCCCACGTGGCCTACAGTTTGTTTCGTCACAGTGGGACTTTCTGTTGCTTCGGAGACCCAGGACTTGCACGTTCGTGCATATTCACGGGGAGGGGGCTCACGCACGGTCGTATTCCTCCAGGCCGAAAAGATCAAGAAGAAGAGGAACACGATCTTCGGGACGTTCAGCGTGGCGCACAGTTCCTCGCTGGACGAAGTGGACCATAAGATCCTCACAGCTAAGTGAGTCCCTCCACCTCCGGTCTGTCCTGGAGGTGCCTTGGCTTCTCCCACTATCTTCACCAATCCTCTCTTCTTCTGCCATACCGTTCCAACCACTTCCCGCTCATTCACGTCCCATTGTCATCTTCCTCTCCCTTTTCCCCCCTTCTCTCACTCTTCTCTGCCACCCATTCTTGCGTCCTCTTCCCTCTCTCTTCAGACAGGCGCTGGGCGAGGTGACGGCAGCGCTGAGGGAGAAGCTCCATCGCTGGCAGCAGATCGAGCACCTGACCGGCTTCTCCATCGTCAGCAACCCCGGGCTGCCGTCGCTGGCCTCGGCACTTAACCTGGACCCCAGCTTCGTGGGAGGCACGGGGCGGGCCGTGCCGTCGCACCTCATAGTCTCCGACGATGTTGACGACATGGACGAGGACATCATTTCGCCTGGCACGCTGCAATGTAAGGGCCCACCCGAATCGGCAGAGGGGCGTGGGGCGGGGACACAGAGGCACCCCAGGGGCCTACTGGGAAAATCCAAAAAGCAGCCATCCTCAGAGAAATAGCACGCCCAGCAAACGGTATAAGCGGCCTGCTGCCAGAGCATTCCCCCGGATAGAGAAGGCAGGCCAAACCGCGAGAGGACTTCAGGTTTAAGGAGGCGCCCCAGCCACACTCATTTGGAATAAATCTTGTGATGTTAAATAAACAGAAATGCAGCACATCCTTGGTTTCCCCCTCCCCTGTTCAGTTCAAAGACACCTTTACTGAAATGCTGTGCCTATTATGTCATCATTTCACCTCCTGTGGTAAAAGTTGTGTATGCTTGAGTTTCAACATGCAAAGTGCTTGGGAACCCTGTACTTTTGTTGTGTTTTCATCCACTTTGGAAATTAAAAAAAAACCTCAAACTTTCTAAATATATACTTGAAACAAGTTTTGCAGTATTGTATTTGTTGCGGTTTCGGTTGATCTTAACGTTGGCCCCAGGTGCCCCGGTGAGACCAAATGCCCTACTAATGAAGCAAAGTAGCGTGTCTGTAGCGCCACCTAGGCGCAGTGCCCATTCACCCCGCATTCACTCGACTCCATTCTGGGTCACTTGCCTGGCCCAGTTCTGATTTTGGTGGTGCTGTTGGGGCCCCAGCACCCCAGGGACCCTAAACTGCCTCACTCGTGTGCTCGACTCAATTGGGGTGATGAGCAATGATTGGGTGATGCGGAGCCCTTTGAGGTTGCGGCCTATGCCACATTCGTCCATGAGGGCTCTGAGCTGGAAGCTCTCGTCGCTTATCAGTGCTGCGCCTGGTGCGGCTCCTTGTCTCCGAAGGTAAGGCAGAAAAGAGAACTTCTCCAGCCCCACTGAAAACCCAAGGTTTTTCTCCCTCAGAAGTCTACGCAGATGTTACCTTAAACCTCGTGCTGGGGGTGGTGTTTTTCCAAGTCAACAGGAGGTCAGGATTGCTTCTGTAAAGCCTCCGTCCTCCATTACTGCTGGAGTCACTCCAGGTGGACAGGCCATTCTAAAAATTCACCTGACATTTAGTTGTTAATTGCTTAATTCCTGTGTACTCAGATTCTTCCACAGCATATTAAGCTTAAGCAGATCCCCCTCCAACACAATATCACAGATCAGGTTCTGAAGCTTACCGGCCCTTGGGATTCTCTGAAACCCAGTTGGCTGATGGGGCTCTGTGATTGGCCTGTCGGAGAACCGGACTACAGCCGGTCCCCACGGTTTCGGAGCGGTGATCCCCAGAGTGTCGTAGGTGGAGTCGGGTTTGCAGGCCCGCGCTGCTACAGTCTTTATGCTGTGTGTCAGTTCATCATAATAACCACGGCCTCCCTCCCTCCCCCCACCCCTTTCGGTCCACCTGCTCCTACCTTCCACGTGATTGGCCATCCTGGCCCCATGACCCTCCAGACGCTGCCTGGCAGATGAACCGTCAAGTGAGCGACTTGTGGCCAGCGGGTTTCGACTCCTCCTTCCAATGGAAGCATTCCGGTTGGGCCCTTCCCTTCCCCGAACATCTACCCTATCCTCTCCCCAGTCGCTGTTTCTCCTAACCTCACGCGTTAACCTTCTTGTACTTTGCCTCTCCTCCCCCCCCCCCCAAATATCATCCTTGCGCAGTGCCTCTGCTCGCCTACGAATGCATTTCTCCGCAAAGGGGGGTGGGTGAGTGAGACGCTTTGGGTTGAGGTGACATTTATGTTTAACGTATTCCGAAAACTTCCCCATGAGGAGCTGTTTAATGACCTTTGACTGTTTTTTTTTCTTTCTTCCTTTCACAGCTGTTAATCGCTTCGTCTTTTTCTGCATCCACATATCACTCAATGTGTCTGTTGAGTTACTCATCCATACATCAACCAGTTCTAGCACTAAGCTAACTTAGCACTGTTATCTCTGACAATTCTTCATAATTTCATATATGGAAGAAGAATATGGTATAAGCTTCCACTGTGGTATGGAGCTCTGTGGGTTAGGAATGCCTCTGATCAGAAGGTGGCTGGTTCAAACCCTGTTGGCTGGCAGAGAATGTGCATCATCTTTCGACCTTTGAGTGTTAACCGTGAAAGATGCTGAGGGGGTGCCAACTAAATGGCTGACTGCACTCAGACCCCCAGCTTCTTTCCTACCTGGATAAATGTCTTATGGTACAGCATGATGGGATATGTGAGAACTAAAAATTCCTACATGCCTGTACTTGTAGAAATGCTGAATGAAATGTCATTATTGACTGTTTATCCTCGTATTGGCTGCTCTAACCAACAAATCATCACTTGCCTTGAAAAAATTTGGACTGAATGTTTCCGCCTGTAGAACGTGGGCACTGGAATTATGACCCAGAACCTTCAAACAGAACTTGAACAATCTCTAGTTTAAGACTTTTCAGCAAACCAATAACTTATGGTGCTTTTCCACTGACATGCAGGAACCAGGCCATACCCAACCTGTACCACAAAGAGACATTAGTCATGGCAAGGTTCCAGCTCGCTTCGATTTTCCACTGCAGGAGGGTCGGCTGGTTAGAGGCATTTCCGAGTTTGGAGAGCAACAGTGACACAAAAGCAAAGAGATAGAAGCACCGAAGAGAGGTCGGGTCTGGCTCGCATACTTAACAGTGGAAAACTCTCTCTTCACGATACAGCTCGGGTACGTCTCGGTTCTCGGTGGCAGTGGAAAAGCGCCATAAGAAAACCTTCATCCTTCCAATATTCATGATTGCTAATGCACTTCTCTTCTGTTCAGCAGGACTTCAAAAGGGCTATTTTGCTCCACAAAGACTTCTCAATTTGACAGCCTGTGAAGAGAGGTCTTCAGGCTCTTTAGTACAAACAACTGTGAAATGTCATTCCCTGAATATCTCTAAGGACTACAACATAGCCGCCATGAGGCATGGGGTATTCGTGGAGGTTGTCAAAATCACATTGTTTTCTCTCAATTGGCTACTTCACATCCCCCCCCCCCCAATGCTTGCAGGCAGCTGGTGGGGGTAGAGATGATTTTGTTACGTATAGCTTGCACCGCGTAATGAATGTTCCCTACTTGGCGGGAGAGGCAGAAATCAAGGCATATTGAGGCACTTAAATCTGGAAATGACCAAATTAAGATAAAGATCTCAGAAAAGCAGCATCTCGCAGCGCTGCAGTTCTGTTCCAAACAACTGCCACAGGTAACCTTAAGGGCATTACAAAACCCTGTCTGCTTGAAGGTTTGTTTGTTTTAATTGCTGGCATAAAACAAATGAGCAAGCTTAGCTTCAGTCAGTTCCTACAAATAAGATTAAGAAACTTTATTGATCCCAGGGGGAAAATTCTTGAAAAAAAATTCCAGAGAGGAAAAAGACTTTAGAGTTGTTCACCCAAAATGTACATCCCTCACCAGGATCCATTTCCGTGGCAGTTTTGGCCGTGCCGCTGTGTTATGTAGATGAGATTGTCATTCAAACCTGATTGGCTGAGAGGCCTCACTGCTCAGAGCCACCTGCCTCTTTCTCTGCTTTCATCTGCCCACTTTGCTTCCCACGCTTCCTCTTCTCCTCTCTTCCCTCGTGTCCTCGTTGGCCTGGCGGCACTTTAACGCGGCGCTAAGAGCAGGCACCGTGGTACTGGGTCCGTGTGCGTGCGTGAGCAGGTGCCAGAGCCCGGCCGCTGTGTAACCATGTCCGTACGTGTGCTCTTGTGCCCACAGCTCCCAGTATGATGTCGCTGCGGCAACGCCACCTGGACCTCCAGCTGGGGGCCAGCTCACAAAGGTTTGTAGGGGGCGGCCCTGCGGCAGGGCAGCAGGAGGATGGAGGCTGTGGCGCCGGTTCTCGCTGGACGCACTCGCGGCCCTGGGCCTGGGGGGCGCGCAGACACTCCATGGGACAGCTGGAGTTCCACCCCCCATCCCTGCTTTCCTCGTCGGTCTCCCACCCGTCGATTATCTGCTTCTCTCCTCTTCCATCTCCTCCCCCTCGATCTTCTGCTCAGCACCCTTCCTGCACTCCCGGTCACGTCTCTCATTTCCTGCCATGCGGCCTCCCGCCTGCAGATGGCGATGCTCTGCTGTCTAGGCACTCCAGTTGTGGGTAAAGCCTCAGTTCCCTCCTCTCCATGGGTGCAGGCCTCTGCCTTTTTGTGGATGGAGGGTTTTCCTGGCTATATGTGTTATTTTCTTAACCCCACTAAATCACAAATTTAACATTGCGCTTTTATGATTTTTGTTTGTTTGGCCAATTAATTTCCCTTCTGTACTTATCTGCAACCCGCTAACCCCTCACCCCTCCCACTCCACACCCACTGCTTTACTGTATGTCTGCCTGCGGGTTGAATCTGCCTGGAGTTCCCTGGGTCCATGCCCAGCCTTGTGGGTCTCCCACACTGGCAGATGTGTCCTTGGTCCTTGCCAGACTAAGGCTTAGCAAGCTTGAATCTCTATGGCAACAGCCGCGCCTTCCCATGTCAATTCCCTCTCTCATGCTTGCAGGGAGCTGAACCGATCCGATTCGGACTCCTCCCTGTGCTTGACGAAGGCCACCGAGCACCAGCGCCTGACAGCATCCTACGGCTCCAAGGGTCACCCCTTGCGTGGTGCGTCCCAGACACACCCCTCTCATGGCCACACCCCCAATGGAGGGAGCCGCCCAATCCCGGAGGGTGAGGCCTGGTTGGAGGGTGATGCTGACAGCCCGCTGATGATGAAGAGGGTTTACGGTGGCATGGAGAAGTCTGCCAGCCTCGGGGAGATCAGCAGCGGTGTGACGCGGCTCTCGTCCTCCGAGTCCTCCCGCTCACTCACCCCCGCATCCACTGATCCAGACACACCCTCCCCCATTGCTGGGCAGATTGGTATTATCGGGGGCAGGGCAGGCAGCCGCACAACTCAGTTATCCTCCAAGAAGAGCCCCCTAGAGGAGGACAGCGGTTCTACAGGGGAGGAGACGGACTCCAGTGGCAACCGCAAGAAACATACATTCAAGATCTTCAAGAAGCAGAGAAAGTAAGAAGAGCCAAGATGACGTCCTAAAAGGGGGTTTTAGGGGCTTTAGGGCTGGGTTCTGTTTCCATACGATCTCTCTGGTTACAGAGTTTCAGAGCTGAAAGATCCTTTATCGCTGTGAACCTGTGAGAGCGATTCACTGTTTAATGATGTTTTGTTTTGGGGGGGGTGGAGGGGTTGCATTTATTTGTCTGAGCTGAGAATTGCACTGGGATGGGGGAAAGGTTCCGATGCGAGGCATTATTTATCCTGCGGGCAGCAATGCCAACATCCAAGAGGGATTTGCGGTGCCTGGGTCCTGCTCCGGCTTTGCCAGATGTTCCTCGTCGTTTCGTTTCCTCTTTGCACGTGTCTGCTGTCGTCCAGCCGTCAGTGTGGCTCTTTGAACGTCTCCTTCGCTAATCTCAGCTAAGCTGCTCAGCATGTGCTAAATGCCAGACTTTCTTTCTTTTCTAATGGGTTTCATATCCCCCCCCCCACCCCCATTCAAGCAGGATATGAGCAGACTGACCCAGAAGGAGGAGAAATATCAGAATACCTATTTCAGAAAAATTAAAAAGGGCTGAATGACGTTTAGCGCATTCCACTGTGGCAGCGCTGGGCCGTGACTTTGATCATGAAGTGCACACACACACACACACACACACACGAAATAAACAGGCACAGGCACCCAAGTTGCTGAATGCTGCAAAAAAACAGTTGGTTTCATCCCTCTGGACGAAATAAAACATCTGCTATTACCTCCTGAGTCTCTAAAGCAGCTCCACTCATGACTCGTGGGAGATGGGCTTCAGTCATCCCTCTGCTCTTGCATCATCTATGCATGTCTGACAAAAAAAAAATATCTTGGTGGTGACATTCAGACTGGTATACTGTGTCAGAAAATCTGGAATAAAAAAAAATAAATTTCTTTTGATCATCAAAAACCTGTCAGTATGACGTTAAATATACGGAATTTAAACATTTTATAACATATTTATCTTGTTTTTTAATGTATATATTGTGTTATAATTGCTTATAAAGTGTTAATATATAATGCAGCTTAAGTGAAATCCAAAATAATATATGCATTTTTCATATTTCCATCCAATTTAAAAAAATGTTCTTGTATATGTCTCCAAATGAATGTTTTGAAATAGCAGTCATATCACCACATCTATTAATTAGGGGGTCATTAAGGGAATATGCTGGGCTTTTAAAAACAACTATTGCCGTCATAAATTTGAGCTTATGGGCTCATGAATCGTCAGCAAAGAACAAACTCAGTCAATGATTTTTTTTTTTGCCAAATCAGAATGTGTTTCTCCCCATCCTTAAAGCTGATTGGCTCAATTCAAATTGCTTTTCTCCCCATCCTTAAAGCTGATTGGCTCAATTCAGAATGCTTTTCTCCCCATTCTTAAAGCTGGTTGGCTCAAATCAGAATACTTTTTCCTCATCCACGAAGCTGATTGGATCAATGCAGTGAGTCATTGGCAGTCTGGTCTTGTCACTGTCCCCTCTTTTCTCTTACCTGGGGGCCCAATGGGAAGTGGGAATTTGGTGCTTCTGTCATCTTGTATCTCCTGAATGTCATTCAGCAGTGCCTCTAGCGGTGAGCTTGGATGAGGTCGTGAAACGTGCCATGTATTTGTAGAGCCCTAATTTCACCTTCTTCGCCTGTTGCCATGGTGTCAGGGTAGGAGGCTGACATCTGACAATTCTGAGCCCAATGTGTAGACTGGGTCCTGCCCCTGCCCCCATCTTAAACCCTGGGGCTTCACCTCCACTGTGCACCTCTCCTCCACTGTGGAACCGCTTCTGTATTTGTCCTTCACAACTTCAGCCACTGAATGCCTGGAACTCACCCACAATACAACACTGGACATTCAGCACAGTTCCTCAAGAATGGTGTGGTGCTGATGACCGAAGGACCTGATCTTCTGACTTGGGCCTGATTCATTTCCGGAAGGCACCAGTGGTGCAGTGCGGCTAATTTTGCATAAAGGCAATTAGCAGGAAACGAGTGTCAGATCATGGCATGAGATTGATAAATGTTAAATCCAAAGAGGCCAGTAATCATATTGTTATTGTGCCTTTGGAGTTGGATGAGTTCACCTGGACATATCTGGGTGATGTCTTTGCTGTTGTGTTGGGTTACTATGCTGGGAAGTCATTTTGAAGTGTTCTTTTTGTTTGTTTTTGTAAAACTGTGTTTGAGGTTGCCAGTTTCAAATCTGTTTCGAAACATATTTTTGCACGGAGAAGCTTTAAGTGGCTAACACTGTCAGGCGGCTTTCGCCTGGCTGTCTAAATTGTGTCGTTCTGTCTTTTGATGCATGTTCCCTGAAGCAGAGCCAGAACAAAGGGTGGAGGAGGGAGGTCATGCATTGTATCAGACTCCTTTGCTCCAGCCCAGACATGCCTTCCCCTGCCTGCTACCTCCCTTTTTCAGCTTCTGAAAGCACTCTGCCTTTGTATGAAATGCATCTCTGGTAATGTTTTGGACTCTCTGTTGTTTAACAGACCCCTGCATGAGAGCAATAAATTATTTTGAACAAACATTCCTCTCTCTTTCTTTGCCTGCATCGGACAGTGGTTGTTGGGTCTGGGATGAACACTGCTGTAATAGACTTCGTTTGATTACTGGTGTGGGGTTGGAGCATTCACAAAAACTCTTTAGTGGGGAAGGTGGCCCTTCAGGTCGAGCAGGTGACATCACATGATCCAGGCCTACTCCAGGACCTAGAGATGCTTGGAGCAGTGTTTCCCAATCCGGTCCTTGGGGACTCAGACCCCATTTTTGCTGGGAGGGAGCTGAAATGTGGACTATATGACATGGTGCTCGGTGGAAGCAAAAACACGTGGGTCCCCGAAGATCCAAGGAAACACTGCCTTAGAGGAACTTTTTCTCAATGTAGTCCTCGGGGACCACATTTTCACTTTCATCCAGCACACCTGTATCAGACAATTAGTGCTTCTGATTCTTTCATTTGGGTTTTCTGAGAGCTGGGAGGGAGCAAAAATGAGAACTGCCTGGAGGTCCCTGAGGACCGAGATGAGAAACACTGCCGTAGAGCGGAGTACCTGAATATTTACCCTGGTAGACAAACCTGTGTTTAACTAGGCATCCCCCCCCCACCTGTGCCAGCTGGGAAACAAAATGGCGCCCAGCATTCTCCCATGGCCATGGTGATGATGAATATGAAAGCCCAGTCTCACAAAAGCCTCATATGGCCAAGTATCCCCGTTACCGTGGTGTCCAGAAGCCCCTGTTTTGTTTCCCATGTCTCACAGCGTCCTGGTTCAGTGGAACTTTTAACATTTATAAACTGTATATTTGAGAACGTCAACGTTCTTTGCAAAAACATTCCACGCGACGCGGAGACCTATTCCTGGATGTGTGGAACTACACATGTTTCCAAACAGACGTCTGAGGGCTTGTATTCTTTCACGGTGGCCAAGTGAGACACAAACACACACAGGCTGCTGCTGCTGCTGCCCACGGCAACTTCTTACACTGTTTTGGCCAAAATAAATAGGTATCCATTCATTATAAACGGAAGATCCTTTATTGAGACTTGGATATATGCTGATGTTGTTTTTCCTTGATCTTTTAAGTAAAAACAGAACCAAGGTGGCCACACGACTGGGTGGAGGAAGGCATAGAGGCTCCTGGCTGCTTGATAATGCGCTTACGCTGCCCCCCTGTGGCCATGCCACAGCACTGCCACAGCTGGGCGCTGCTTCTCCTCATGAGAACTTACATCCTGTTGCTGGTTCCCTGCCAACAGCGAAGTAACAATGTAGCAAAATGATCTATATGGCTGTATTGAGTTCTATCCCTCCATCCTTATAATTACAAAGCCTCAAAGTGACTCAGAACTCGTAAAACTGCATTTAGCACCAACAGGAAGAGGGAAATCAGAGGGACATCAGCAAAGCACAAAGCATCATTTAACTGAAAGTTGTAGCACGTTTAGATTGAACAGACATCTAGAGCAGTGTTTCCCAACCTAGTCCTCTGAGATGCCCAGAAAGTCGACATTTTTGCTCCCTCCCAGCTCCCAGCCAATCATGAACACCGAATGCCTGGTATGGGTGTGCTGGGAGCTGTCAGACAGCAAAAATGTGGGTTGTCTCGGGGGTTGGGAAACTCTGATTTAGACGTCTGTGCCCCTTCATATTCTACCATAACTGAACTAGTTGGCAGCAACAATTAACAACATCAATTTGAGGAAGCACTTCTTTACACAGCGTGTAGTTAGAGTATGGAATAGTCTTCCTGCTAGTGTAGCGGAAGCTAAAACCCTGGGGTCCTTTAAATCAGAGCTAGATAAGATTTTAACAACTCTGAGCTATTAGTTAAGTTCTCCCCAAACGAGCTTGATGGGCCGAATGGCCTCCTCTCGTTTGTAAATTTCTTATGTTATCTCAACAATGTCTTGGCCATGGATGGCCTGATCGCATGCATTCAGCAACACAGGTATACAAAGGGCATTTAAAATTAGATCTTTTAAATATTTATATACAAGATCATTAAAACTAGATTTATTACAGTAGTAAAGCTGTCCCAAAGGCAGAAGACAGTCATCTTTCGGGGATCGTTTGCATATTTTGTGCATTTGCATGTGACACATCATAGTAAACTCAACAGATTCAATCTGTTGCTCCTAGCGAATAAAAATTAAAAAAATGTGTGAGGTAACTTCCCATCCACCATCCCCAGGGGCTTCTGAAGCTGATGGACCTCATCAAGCTCAACTTCAGCCTCCAGCAAGATGCACGCGGCCACTCCAGGAAGCAAGGGACTGCGGTGTGTCTCCATGGAGACGTAGGTGTCGCAAGTCATCCTCCTTAGCGTAGCCGATTCCGGCCGTGCTTCTGCCCTCTGGCCACATGGAGGCGCTGTTCAGGAAGGGAAGGGGAGGGCGGAGGGGGGAGCAGCTCACTCCTCGCTGGCATTCTCCCAGGCAATAGCGGTAAAGTCTGACTCTGTCAGGTTGACCGTGAACGGCGCTTCCACCCTATCGGGCTCGACACGCTCGCCAGACGTCCCCTGCAGGTTGCTGACTCGCCAGGAGTTGAGCGGGCGTATAGCCTTCATGTACCTCTGAGGGGACAGACACACACACACACACACACACACACACACACACACACACACACAAAGAGAGAAAGCAAGAAGTCAACCCAGGCAGTCCTACTTTCAACATTCTCTTTCCTCTCATGTTTCTATGGTTACAGCTCTCTGCTGTCCAGACAACAAACCCAGATCGCAGTTACAACAATATTCAAGTAATTCCTGTTAGCTTGGCTGGGACAGCCTCCTCCCTCCCTTCCCCCAAATTTTAATTTTTTTTTGCTCCTGCCAGACATCACTTCACAATAGTGGATCTACTGTTCATTTATTGAACATATTTCTCAGAGAATTCCCAAAAATGCAACCATGTGTCCTATTTTCATATAATGTTTATTTAATGTTAGGTTGCTTGTGTATAAATATATATGTATGAATATATGTTTCTACGCAAGTACACTAATGGCCAAAACTGAGGAAACACTTCCAATGCTTAAGATTCCAGAACTTCATTCCAGTTACTCTAGTTACTTATTTTATCGTCCTGTGTATGATATTTGTAAACATTCTTTGATTGTTTCTAAACATTATGGCCAATATCACGTAGTAAATTTAAAGCGTAATGCCAACCATGCCAGATGTTTACACAATATTGGCCACTAGTGAATGTTATATTCCGTGTCCCTTGATCACTTACATCTCTCAGGGTGCCGGACTCCTTGCTCATGGCCACGATGGCCCAGATGGGGATCTGTAGGCAGCAGGTTGTCGCCATGCACACGCCCAGGGCCTTGCCCCAGAAGGGGTAGACGTAGGTGCCGTACTGGAGCGGGGTATTGTACATCTCCATGAAGATGTAGCAGAGGATGAACTGTGAATGAGCCAGGATGGAGCCCGGAGGGTGTGAGTCAGCGGTCCATCGGCAGAGTACGCCACATGGGCTTCACGCGGTGAGGGAGTGTGCCAGGCATTCAGCACAAATAAAATATGTGCAGGAAATCTCTGCGCTCACCGTGTTCCAGGAAACGAGAAAAACTCAAATCTGATTTTGTGACTCAATCCTATCGCCTGACATTCAGCTTACACTGTCAAATATATTTCAACCAACTATTAAAAAGATACGGTATCAAGTTTCCCAAAGAGTAGGTTGGTGTGCGGCTCAGCAAGAAGGTCACCAGATCGAAACCCATGTTCTGTAAAGTGATCTCACCATCGGGTTGAAGTTTGCAACCCTGCCTGTAATAACCCCCATCCCAACCCACCCTACTAATTACCAACATCACAGTTTGGGGTCTATCGCCTATAGCTTGGCCATACTCACCAATAAGAGGAAAGGGGTAATGAATACCCAGCATGCCTTGAAATAGAGCAGCAACTTGGAGCACCAGGGAGGGCAGCGGCAGATCATGTCGATGATGTCGGAACAGAACTGGTTCACGCCTGGGGGCACGGCACACACACGTGACTGTCTCACTCAGAAAAAACTGGGCCAATTGAGGATAGGCCATTGGAGACCCACCGTAGAAGAAGGATATGCCGACGCACATGAAGAGCGTGATGATGATGAGGCCGAAGCTTGTGCTGAATGAGTCGATGAGGGTGAACCAGTAGATGCCCCCCTGGAGAGGCCGGTAGGGATAGGTCATGTGAGATGGTCCCACACATATCACATGCATGCCACATGCACTGCAAATGCATGCCACGTGCACTGCAAATGCATGTCACATGATTGCCACATCTACGCCACATGCACTGCACACAGGGGGCTTCACTCACGTCTGTAATGAGCAGCAGCCCCATCAGGTAGAAGGCAAAGCAGAGGGCAGCCAAAAACAGCACCTTGTACTTCATGTTGCGTCTTAGCTGGGGAAACTCATCCAGCACGGCGGTGGTGATGCCCTCCATGTTACCGAACTGCAGGGGGCAGCAGTGAGCTGTCACTAATCAGGAAGTACATGAAACACTGGGCAGGCTCTTCACAATGTAAAGGATGCTTCAATACTTCCTTGGAGATGTTCAACAATATAACTTTACCAGAGTGTCCACCCCAAGCATAAACAACATCAGGAAGAAGAGGATGGCCCAAAATACAGAGCCAGGAAGTAGAGCAAGGGCTTCTGGGTAAGCGACAAAGGCAAGGCCCGGACCTGCAAAGTTAACGGATAGATAATCAGATGAATCTCACACTGTGACCTTCTGGTGACTAGGCACACTATCGACAGAGCCTCCTCTGAGCACTGATCTGCTAGCAAAGTGCTTAGTCTTTTCATACATATGTGTAAATTGTATTGTATATTTTGATAGATTTGTGTCTTTAAACGCCATTTTTAACTGAGACCTTTTTAAATAAAAAATTTGGTTGTCTATTTTAATCTACCCGTCTGTTAAATCTGATGTTATCATAACTTTCTAAAATTAGCAACATCTCCTTACAACTCAGAAACTATAAAAACCCCGAAGCACACAAAGAAGCAGAGGTGTGCGCCACAGCCCCCAGGAGCCCCCACCCTTCGTTACCCGAGTCCGCCACCAACAGCCCCCCGGGGGCCCCCGCCCTCCGTTACCGAGTCCGCCACCGATAGCCCCGCCCTCCGTTACCCGAGTCCGCCACCAACAGCCCCCCGGGGGCCCCCGCCCTCCGTTACCCGAGTCCGCCACCGATAGCCCCGCCCTCCGTTACCCGAGTCCGCCACCGATAGCCCCGCCCTCCATTACCCGAGTCCGCCACCGATAGCCCCCAGGGGCCCCCGCCCTCCGTTACCCGAGTCCGCCACCGACAGCCCCCAGGGGCCCCCGCCCTCCGTTACCCGAGTCCGCCACCGACAGCCCCCAGGAGCCCCCGCCCTCTATTACCTGAGTCCGCCACCTGTCCCACGGGCACGCCCTTGCGCCAGGCCATGTGACCCAGGATGGAGAAGATGGCGAAACCCGCAAAGAAGCTGGTGGCACAGTTACCTATGGTGATGACCAGCGTGTCCCTAGAGCGCAGAGAGCCACCCTCGTCAAACTCAGACATTCTCTTAAGATCGCACAGGCAAACGCTAGACTATATTTGCACTATCACCGTTATCAGTATGACATATATGAAAGCAATACACCTGCATATTATAACTGGGACCATTCAAGCATCTTGTTTAATGGCACTAAAATCCCTTCCTGAGAATTGAACACACAACCAGCAATCATTTTTTCATGTGTGTACTATACAGTGCAAAAGTCTTAAGCAGTCAAAAGAAACATTTAAAGCTATTATTTGGGTAATGAGTGCACATTTGTGCAGAACAAAAAAAACAGTTTAGCATTAGAATATATGCAAATTAAGAGTAGCACAAAAGTCACTGATATCTTGATGGATGGCTAGATGAACACCACTTCAGTTCCCAAACCTCCCCTCAGGGGCACCCCAGCCATTCCACGCATTTGTTAAATTTCACCACCGGCTTGCCTAATTAATTAACTTAATTACTTAAAAAAAAGAAAAGTAAATGAGATATTGATTAGCTATACAAGGAGTGTTATTGGTCGAGTCAAAAAATAAATGGGTGCATTGGATGGTTGTGGCAAATACTTAGGTGATTTTAGTTTTACACCAACATGAAGTTCATTTAAGGAACATTTTCTTTTGCTGTCTCAGACTTCTGCACAGTAATGTTCGTATGTATATTAAATAACCCAGTGTAGCGTTACCCTGCCTCCCACTGCACAGTAATGTTCGTATGTATATTAAATAACCCAGTGTAGCGTTACCCTGCCTCTCACTCACCTAATGACGTTGTTGTCGAACTTGTTGTAGGATGCCATGGACAGCAGACCCCCAACTCCAATGCCAAGAGAGTAGAAGATCTGCGAGGCGGCGTCATTCCACACCTGTCCCATAGTGCAGACATGAAGAACAGCAAAGCAGATCTCCCATAGGGTCTGGCCCCACCACTGCAGACAGGCTGGACTAAACCAGAAGCTGCTGAGACTACAGCACGAATCACACAAATAAGCAGACGCCCGGAAAGATTCTCCAGGTGTTGTTTCGTTTCCTCACCACCAGGGGGTGTCATACCTGTGCGCTAGCCAGACGGTCCCAGTCGGGGGTGAGGTAGAAAGCCACGCCCTGCAAAGAGCCTTCCAGGGTGGCCCCTCTGATGATCAGCACGATCAGCACAAAGTACGGAAACGTGGCCGTAACGTACACCACCTAGGGGCGGTGTGGAGTCAGAATCACTGTCGGTTAAAGCATATCACTGCCTTAGTTTTAAAATGGGGAGGGGGGGTACTGCTCACCTTCCCGGAACTGTGGATGCCCTTCAGCATGCAGAGAAAGATGATGAACCAAGCAAAAAACAGGCAGATGGCTAGCTGCCACCTCACAGGGCCTGGGTCTTGTAGTCCAGAACTGTGGACCACGCCCAGCACCTGCTCACTAAAAACAAGGCCATGAGGACCACACAAGGGTTAATTGGAGGGGGAAGAGGAAGTCGACAATGAGACAGGGTAACAGGATATTACAACAAACCTCTACCTGCATCACCCCACAAACATAAATACAACAGAGATGTGCTCATTGCCTCGATATCCTCGATATGTATAAGGCCAAGGAATACCTCACTGCTCTACCAATATGCTGATGTGGAGGCTTCTCAAGTCCTTACTGGACGGAGTGACATTCCATATATGTTCACAACTCCAAGTGAGAAGCAGCGGAGTATGATATCATCTCTCTTCCTTTACGCCAACAGATACCACTTTCGTCACCTTTCCACATGTGCTGAATCCCAGCTGACTACTGCAGTAGGAGGCTTAGAAAGCGGACACCCCCCACCAAAAGGGTGTGGGTTTTAGGCCCAAAGGGGAGAAAGTTGTTGGGTAAAGGTACTCAATATGAAGCATGCTTACTCACTTCCAGAACACCTCTGTGGGGCTGAGAGACCTGCCCCCAGTTGAATTTGCCGTGGTGACATTCTGTCGGGGGGGTGAGGGGGCATTAGCATTATTGTTTAAACAGCAATTGATTCACCAAAGTAAAAGTATTGAACTACACCAGCCTGGAGGGTCAAGAGGAAGGACGCCATACCCCTTATACTAATGTCACTGCTATGTCTTCATGATGAGAACATCATGTAAATCAATATGGTTCCTCCAACATAGATGGCATCACGTGTGCATGAAAATCTTCAGCACATGGTAACTCCTGTCCAAACAACCTCCCCACACCTAACAAAAATGGTGATTTAATTTCACTAAGGCCCGCTGAGACATGAATGAGAGCATTTAACTTGAAGGAGTGCTTATCCGATTAGACAGAAGGTAAAAAGAGTGGATCATTTGTTCAACAATGAGCTGCTGAAGGGTGGGGCGGGGAGTGCTGAGCCTCTCTGGTTAGGGGATGGTGCACTTGTGGTTTGGTTAGGGGGCAGCCTTACCCCGCAGAGCGCTGCATTGCTAGCGGCTTCACAGGACCAGGGCAGAGGGCTCTGGAAGGAGTTGCCCAGGTAGAAGAAAGTCCAGGCAATGATGACGTTGTAGTAGAGGCAGACCAACGTGGACACGCACAGCATGCCGATGCCTATGCCTGAAAAGCATGGCGAGGGATGAGTAACCTTAGATGGTAGGACCATGAGGCTGGACAGCAACATCTCAGGATCTCAGGAGATCTGCACTGATTCCCACGAGATCGAGGCACCGGTACCCTACAGGCTCTGCTGGAATGGCCAGGTACATAAACAGGTAGCAGCAGGGAAGACAATCTTCACGTCATTACCACGGACTTTTAGCACGCAGGTCGCTTGTCCTGCTCTTGTACCAGTGATCTTCACCTGAACTTTTCAGGTAAAATATCCAACAAGAATTTCCCCCTATTTTAAAGTTAACCATAACTGCATCCAGAGTAAGACTGAAAATTGTGCTAGATAAACATTTGGTTAGGAAACTAAGTAGCATCGACAATCATATGTGACAATAATTGTTATTGTTATAATTATTATTATTATTGGACACACGGTATAGAAAATGAATGGATGGATTATTATTGCAGTTGTTGTTATTCATTAATAATAATACATTTATAAGTAATAATTAATAAAGTCAACATAAGGATCAAATGAATAAATTAAAAGGCAGTGGGTCACGTGACTGTGCACATGTGACGGTGGGCTGACCTTTCAGTAGGGGGCAGCACTTCCACACGGTGATGGGTCCGGCCGCCCCGTATTGGCCCAGGCTGAGCTCCATGAGGAAGAGGGGCACCCCGGTGAACAGCAGCATGATGAAGTACGGGATGAGGAATACACCTGTGCACAGCGCAGAATCGCGAGTTAAGCATCTCACAGGCCCGTTCTCCTGCCCAAATCGGGGGGGGCCTAACCTCCATGGCTGTGCCCAGCACTATTGCACACCTTGAGGAATACCAGCTGAACAAAAGAAACCTGAGTGTTTGGTCGGATCTCTTGCCACGACTCCAGGGATTGACGTCATAGCTTAGCTGCAGCAGAATTCGCCTCAATCAGCAGACACTGCCACACAGTCACATTCTCAAATCCGTGATCCGTAACATAATGGCGTGAGTAAGAACGCACTGAGCTCCCCCGCCCTCTGAGGCCCGCGATGCGGGACCTGCCAGGACAGGCAAATGGATTCTTTCAGTGCCACGTCGCTATTGCCCTAACAAACAAGGCCGTGATGTGGCAGTGTAACAAAGAGTACAGGGTTGGACTGCTGGGGGGGGGGGGGGCTCCATAATTACTTTTGCTGACCAGCAAGAGATGGTTTTTGGGGGGGGGGGGGGGAATTTGCTTCATGTTCTGGTTCATGATCTACTAAACTGAGGGGTGCGTGGAGAATTTGGGCAACAGGATCTGACAGCATTGCAGACGTAAATAATAACACAGCACTCACACTGATATGTGCCAGCCCTTCAAGAAACCTGCCCATCTAAATCAGAGGTACAAATGCTCACTCTGTACAATGCATCTAGAATGTCCAGACGGGGGGGGGGGGGGGGCAGCAAAACTTAAACACTGACATCCGACTTCATTGTCGGTTCAACCCTGTGCCACAGCGAAACAAAAGCGACATGCAGTGTGACGTCATGCTGCTAAAAATAAAAATCAAACTTAATTAGAAATTAGGATTTTTATTTTTATTTAAAAAGGCTGCCTCTGGATCAGCTGAAACACGTGAAATCCAGAGCAGCAGAACGGTGGCTCCAAAAGGTCCATGTGGATGAACAATGTCTAAGCTCTCGTAGTATTTTATTGCCACTACAGTATTGTAATAAATTAAATACAGTTTAAATGATGCATCGAATAACAGCGATTGTTGAGACTGCACATGGAAGGTATGATTTATTTCCACCCAGTGACCCTGACCAGGAGGTGAGGCTGTTAGATCCCTCCCATCATTTCCTGGCCAGTAATTACTTGCGTCTACGTTCAGTAATAATCATGGTGGACTAACAGTGCAAATCGAGGGTAAATGCAACAAACAGGAATTAGCTCTGTCTGTTGTTTATACGATCTACTCTGACCGTGTGTGGGAAGTCGTCTAAACTGCCTCATTACCAGTCCAGCCAAAGGCAAACGTGCGTTTTACAGGTCCATTCTCAAATAAAAGCCAAAGGTGGTAGTTCATACGTAAAATTGTGTAATGGGCATATAAAATAGTCTTGAAACAAGCGGAACAAATATATGCTAGAGCATAAATATTATAATAAATAATGTTAATAAATACACAACCTTTAAGTGAAATTTACTAAGATGAAGTAACTTTATTACACCTGAATTTGCAAAGTGGTTTCCAAATTGCCTTTCCTTCGGACCATTATTTTTTAAATTTTCTATATAAATCTTCACCCCCTCTCACACACACAGACCTGTTTAATATATCTTTGTAGGGACTCTTCGTTCATTTCTATGGGCAAAACCCTAATCCCAACAATGACACCCATAGCCCCCACCCAGCCCTAACCGTAACTATAAGTAACCAAACAAAATACAAAACTTTTGGCATTTTTTAGTTTTTTTGATTGTTGTCACAGTGTTTTTTTATAAAACCAAGTTTCCCCAAAAAAATGGTCCCCACAATGTGAAAATAACAGGTTTCTATCACATTGTGGGGACATTTGGTCCCCACTATGTAATGTATACCTGGACCACACACACACACACACACGGCAGAGACATTCTTCACCATAACGTGCACATAGTTGGTCTGAAATTACACTTCAAACGCAGCGCTAGTTTCCCCAATCCACCTGTAAGCTGAATTCCAGTACGAAGCTGAAAATCTGCCTCGGGATTTACATATTTTCCAGTCTCCTGCAAGCCGTCTTCTTTCCCCATTGGTCTGTCCCCACATACCAGAGGCAGAAAGGTGTGTGTTTCACAGCAGCCACCACCTTTACTGGCTCAGGCAGGGAGGAGGGGGGGGGGGGGACCTTGAGAAACCTGCCGGGAGAATAACTCAGTTTCCAAGGCAACGGAGTATTGCCATCTGAAAACAAAGGGATCTTTCCCCTGCCTGGCTGCGTCCCCTATTACGGTTTTGCTAACTGCCACAACAGAGGTAACAGCTGATAGCCAAACTCCAAAGTCATATATAAAAAAGACAGTATCTGTTCTCCTGCATTTACATCAGCGCTGATGTGATTTATAGCCACTGCTATCTGTTTCTACCTTAAAGCTGTTTTCACTGCCTTTTTTGTGATTTATTTCATGCTCTTAGCATCAAGCAAATATGTATATGTATGGATGATGTATATTATATATCATGTAGAAGGACAATACCGTGTCTCAGTGGACAGCACCTTTGTCTCACACCACCAGGTTCTGGGTTCAAATCCCTCTGCCATGTGTATGGAGTCTTTGAAAACTCTGCCGGCCTCCCACAGACGTTCAGCTAGGCTAATTGGTGCCTGTATATCATATTATTTTATTTTTAAAATGCCATCATTAGTGTAGCTGACATTCTGATTACCAGGTGATGATGCACTCGAAATCAGCTGATACAAGCTGTTATCAGCACCACTGGTTCCTGATTTTCATGTCATAATTTTTGTTCTATTACTGTAATACTGTATTAGATATTACAAATTGTGCATTTACGCCCATATAAAAGCATTATTTGAGTGATCGCAAATATAACAGCCACTGGCCTCATATTTTAAATGCTTCAATTCCCTATATCTTGCTTTTTGTATCTTATCTCTAAGAATAAATTAATTCATCACATTGTAAAATAAATGAATGATTAATCAGTTATTCCCCATAACTTACCTCCACCGTTGCGGTAGCAGAGGTAGGGGAACCTCCAGACATTGGCCAAACCCACGCAGTAGCCGATGCAGGAAAGAAGAAACTCGTATTTTCCTCCCCACTGATCACGTTGTGGAGGGGATTCTCCTGGTGGGGGTGGGGATGGAGCCCGAGAAGAGGGGGCGGAGCTGAACTGGGGCTGGGATGTGGGGTCAGCGACGTCACGCACGAGCGTCTGCCCGTTCAGCTGCACGGGACTCTAGGCACAGAAAGCAGCACGTGTGAATCCAAGGGGGGTGTTGCGGGAGGTGTTGTTTGGGTGTCGACATTTTCATTTCTCCACTGGGACACACCCACCGCTTGGGATAAAATGAAATGTCAGACACGCAAAGGGGAAAAAATGAGGTGTGTTTTTGTCTATCAGATTAGGGGATGCAACACCCAGATAATAGGAGCAAAATAAGGCTGTGCAGCCTTCAAGCATAACACAGCTAGGTATGATACAACAAGATCTTAATTTAAAAAATATATCATTAATACAGTTTATGAAAAAGAGCTTATAATGTTCCAGAACTGTGAGAAATACTTAGAAAATCGGGACCTTCAATTTTTCTCTGTATACAGAAATGAAATATGATAGCGCATATACTGGCTGTAATATCAATGCGTGCACGTTTGACGTTTGTTATAATAGGGGGTAGTTCCAAATGTGCTACAATGTTTCCCGCCCGTCCCGAAAAAAAACACATACCCCGAGGGGTGCAGGAAACAGCCTGGGATGCCTCACCCCTTACAATAGGGCAGGAACTTTATGAGATCTGGGGGGCGATACTGAGCCGAAAAAGTTCTGCCGATAACCCTTTTTGTAATACAATATTGCTCTAGTGCCCCCTCCCTTATTACAACACAGACCCTCCTGGTTTCAAGTACAGATACCAAACCATAGCTCTAGCTGTTGTTCGTCAGTTCTACCATTTTTTGTCACTATTCACTGCCCGCAAAGCATACAGATGACACAATAACACATCCGTGAAGAAATGAGGAACAGGTGAGAGGAACAAAAATACAGAATGATGAGACGGGTGTTATTAAGTGAGGTGGTATGTATTGCAGTAAAAGTTAAACGTTTAAACATGAAATGTAAAACCCATAGTATAACACGAGACTGAAAACAGACTACAGTTTCAAGGGCGCCGGTGCGTAATGGAGCGGAGTACATAACGCAAGTTTCACGCTTAAATACTATACAGACGACCATATGCCTTTTAGATAGTAACTTTTGTTGAACAGTCGAATACAGCAATAATACTTGTGATAATAAAAGTAATAATAATAGGCCTAATTAATAATAAATACTACTTAATCCATATACAAAGGAATACCAGCCTGTGCACGCAAATACCTAAAACGAAGGAAAAGTTTACTTCACGCGCTCAGCTCTAATGCACATTCTTCAAAGCACCGCTATTGATCTAAACCGGAATGAAGAAATACAGGTTTTGTTTTCTCCTGATAAACTAGACGTCGGACTCTTCTTGGAAAAAAACGCGATGCTGCGAAGACTGCGCCCTGTGCGTGATGGTTTCCATTTTGTCACAATGACATACTTCAGCTCTGTCACTTCTGTATTTGAGCTTACCCCCGGCCATGGTCGCGCTGTTGTTGTCCCGGCCAAGCCTTCTCCAGGTGCCCCCTTCGGCTCCCCGTTAAGCATCTCCTCCGGGGAGCGATCGGATCGCTTTTTCGGAGGATCGTCCCGCTGATCCGCTAGAAGTTTCATAAGAGACGCTGTTTCGGACTATAACCCACCTCCAGTACGTCTGTGACACAGCCCGCGCACAAATGATATCAATGCCCTTTAAAACACATCCGAAGTTGCGGTACAAATGGTTGGAGCTGGAAGCCGGTTTGTCTGCAGGAACAGGGAAGTTTAGGGATACACCTCCTTTTGAGTGACTGCATAAAGAGGGCGCACCTCTGAGCAGGTAAGCCACACCCCTGTTGATGCGCACGCTCCCATATTATTAAAGAGTCTCCTCTGTTTAACAACTTAATTTGGAAAAACAAAAAGCTTCCGTTTTATTATTGCCTGAGGCGGGGATGGCTATTGGTCAAAGCTCCTTTTAGTTTATTTCCTGTGTTGATTTAAATTTGAGAGAGTGGTAGTCTATACCATTCAAATTATATTTCACAGGACAGTAATTATTTTGTTACAGAATGGTCATTACTCCGTGAATCGGGACCCGGGCCACTGTAACAAAGCAGCGACCTTGCGTGAAGGTTTTGGTCTCGTGGGTTGTCTAGGGGCTCGCGCTCGCGTTCCCCTTCTTGCTCCGAGGTGTCGCCACGGCTTTTGTAACCGTGCGAATGTAGAACAGGAAACCTCGAGCTGCAGTGGCGGAAATGACAGGCTGTGCCGTCCTGGGCGCGCCCCTTTCAGGAGAGCTAATGCCAAGACTGCGAAGGTCTCTATTGTTATGCTAAATGAATCCAGACACGCTAGGGGATGAGAGAAAGGGGACGACTGGTTTAGCTTACTCATGGGCAGTATGTACATGTTTCTTGTACGCTTTTAATACCCCTGTTATTCAGCGTTCATTGGAACGCACAGTTCAGTTCAGGAGATATCTTCACAAAGGTAAGTAAAGTGGTATCAACACTTTCCGATGCAGCACTAACAAATAAATATGGCCTAAACCATTAGCAGTTTGACCTGCTTAGAAATTATCTAATGCAAGTAGTGAAATATGATAGTATAATCAACATTTATTTGCTTGCTTGTTTTTTGTTTGTTCGTTCATTCATTCATTAATGTACTTATTATTTTGTTCAAATTGACATGCAGTTAAGTAAGAAGGGTCAGCCAGTCCTGAAACAAGGGGAGGGGGGCAGAGCCTGCCGATCTACCAATTATACACCCCCCCCAACTCTGCTACCCTATTTGAGCCAAACACCATCCCTCGACCTCTATTGTGCTAAAATGGATGGATGCTGCATTCTACCAGACATTGGACAATACTATTGGCCTCGGCTTTGTAGATGCAAACATTGAACAGCACATAAATAAATTAAAGTCGTAAACACGAGTTGATTAGCATCTACATTACATGTACATTACAAGAACTGAAAACAGTGTCACAATACAGTTCAGGTGTACTGATGGCCAACAGGATGAGCTAAAACTCATAATCTAATAGCATACAGCCATCAACATTGATTTCTATCTTAAATTAATCCAGCTAATTTAGATACCCTGCTAAGTGGATCAACCTCTTGGGCTGAATTCTGTTGCTTGTATGTTTGTATGTACATGAATGAAAGTGACTAATGAATAAATACATAAGCATTTTTAAATGGTGTCGTGTGCACGTTAACAGGATGAGCAACAATGAATAATGCTTAATCGCTTTTCTTACCTATAGGCCCTACAAAGTGGGTAGTCAAAGCAGTACTGTAAAACACGGAGACTGTCTATTATTCAATGTGAGAGAGACGATTTTCATTTGGCAATATTCCACGCGGTGGGCGGGACCAAGGTGGAGTGACATTCCTTATACTTCAAACGAAGTTTGAAATTCCAAGAAAGAGGGCGAGAAGTCTGGATAAGCTCGTTTTTGTCTGTACATCCCGAATAAACTTGTGCAGTTTATCACTATTTCGTAATTAATTCCGTATATTATAAGCAGTTTTACTAGAAAGACATGACAGTGTTACGGAGGCAATAGGAATAGCGAATTTTATTATATTATACAATAATGGAGACGGACTTAGTTATAAGAACATTGCAGTACAATTGTAGGTATATGTTCCATAATGTTAAACAGTGTTATTAAAGGTTATTAAACTAAAACCATGATAAGCAGAACTTATGACGCAATTTATGCATACAGGCGCGATGACCTCGTTCTGTTTTATCCCTAGCCATGTGAGTAATTTGATGTGACTTAATGAAATCCTTCCTTTCATTTGTCATTTAAACTAGCAGGACCAGAATATAATTACCAGTAACCGATATTGCCTACTTTGTTGGTAAATAGTGGGATTAAAAACGTACCCTATATTGAAGAAATTGCATCCAGGCATCACTATGTTAAAATAATCACCTGTTGCAATAGTGTATTTATTTAGAAGGAAGGGAGCGGAGGGTACTGAATGAACTTGTATCAGTGAGCAGACAACATTTGCGCTCATAAATCTGGCTTTCTGAGCAGTATCCATGCATTATGTTTATTATGGATTACATTTATTCGGCACAGTATTTCTTAATATAGGTGATTACAGAAGTGTTGTTTTTAGTAGTTTTTATATGACGAAAAGCAAATTTCAAAAGGGAAATTAAAGAGGAAAATTAGCAATGTGTAATACATACTGATAAAGCGTAATAGATTTAATTTGTACCACATATATATTTTTTCAATGTAGGGTAACATTCAAAGAATGAAATATATATAAGCTTGATAGAGGAATACTGTTCAGCTGTTTATTGGATTACATGCTCATATTAGTCCAGAAAAATAACAAATGCTCTTGAATAATTTCTATGGCTTTGCACACTGAGAGAACTGGCACTATATTCACACCACGCACGTGGCAAATTCTAATAAAATCTTGATTCTTGTTTGGTTATCAGTGATAAACTTTAATATTCGTACATATTTTATTCTGTTTGCAGATACATTTCATAAGTTGAAAAGAAACAAAACATTCAAACTCTCCCGCCAGATCCTCGGTTTAATAAGATGACAGCTGAGACGCACCCGGAAATGATTCATGTAGGCGCGTTGTGATTGGTCGACGCGCCTGCTTTCCGTGTCCACGGATTGGCTACTTACTTGGCAGAAGTCGATTTTGTGGCGGGCAGCAGAGTTCTCCGCGCTTTATTTCTTACGTTTTGGGGCACTTAGTTTGAGAAGCAGCGTAGATAGGTACTTCTTATAATTTACCTATTGTTATATTTAATTATTAATTCTTTAGCACTTTTTTGAGGACAAAACAAAGAGCAAGCAGCCATGCACGTTGTCAAGCGAGGTAAGGCATTTTTACCGTGAACTAGCATGCTGAATAGTTTTAAAAACATCAAACTCATTGTCAATAGTCTTGCTTGACGAGTTTTCAGTTAGTTTGCATTGCAGTTTTATAGTAACGTGTTTCATAATGACCTTTGTAAATTATTGTCATATGTAGCCTTACTGTCACGGGCGGAAACGCTGAATGCTAGCCGCTTTTTAATAGCCATTCTTGTTATTAAGGGTCCGAGGAACATAGCTGCTGGGTCGCTGTTATTTTTAATAATATTTCTTGAATAGTTTTTTTTTTTTTTTTTTTTTTTTTAAACAAGCAGCGTTATTACGAAAGATGAAGACATTTCTGCCTTGATTGATTCAAGTGCATATTCAGAACAACCCAATCATGCAGTTCGAAGTTGCTTATCTCACTTTAAAGAAACTTGCTTCGGTATAATTTGTCCATAATACCTAAATAAAGCCGCGTAGCTCCTAGTTAGTCGGGCAGGGTTATGAGTTTTTGTGTATCGTTGGCTGCATGATTGGATTGTTGCTCTATTGTCCCGCCTTGGCGCCAAATGTTGAGTAAGCTTTACTGACTTTCGGGCCCAAATCGGAAGTTTCTTTGCGCATTCATTATATGGTGAAAATACAAATTCTCTTTTATTGTAATATCATGTATCGATAGATTTTTGTTTATCATTGTCGGACGGTTTTCTTAAGAGTAACCGGAACAGGACACGTTTTTGTTAAGGTACATCTCGGTACCAGATTTGTCGGTTATGTTGGCTCCGCTCTAAAGGTACATTATTTGTCTCTCATATTCATTGATGCTTACAAAACTGATTGACCCCTTATTTCCTTAGATGGTCACCAGGAGCGTGTCATGTTTGACAAGATTACCTCCCGGATTCAGAAGCTGTGTTATGGCCTAAACTTGGAGTTTGTGGATCCTGTAAGTTAACCAGGTCCAGTGTTTGCTATCGTATAGCTATTATGATTCTGGTTTTCTGCGCTTGACCTTATTTAGTTACTGCTGTGTCTGATTCCCTTTCCTCTCGTCTCCTAGACTCAGATTACTATGAAGGTCATCCAGGGCCTGTACAGCGGTGTGACTACGGTGGAACTGGATATACTGGCTGCTGAGATTGCCGCCACCCTCACAACAAAGCATCCTGACTATGCCATTTTGGCTGCCCGCATTGCTGTGTCCAACCTGCACAAGGAGACTAAGAAGGTCTTCAGTGGTAAGTGTGGCGTTTGGACCTTTAAGCTCTTATGGAAGATCTCATACAAGGTGGTTTCACTCGTGGTCGTTCTGGGTTTTTTTTTTTGTTTGTCTTAAGTCTGTTTTGTGCTATTTTGGAATACAAAATATGTATCCTGAATACAACTTTTTGCACATGCACACTTTGCTTGACTTCTTACCTTTTCATATTTTTTGTCTTTGCTTGTATTTTCAGTTCAGTATTTTTAACCTCTGTTTTAATCGTGCACCATGTGTTCTGGCACAGTAATTTCCTTCAGCGTGAATCAAGTTTATATCTTATCTTTTTATGATACTTCAATGTCATGCATTTTTCTCCCTTGCAGAGGTGATGGAGGATCTGTATAACTACGAGAACCCCCTGAATAAGCGGCATTCTCCCATGGTTTCCAAGGAGACCCTGGACATTGTCCTGGACAACAAGGATGTAAGTAAGGTCCTTATGTTCTTTTTCTTAACTCATTTAACACTTTATGACCATTTGTTTCCCACCTTTTTTGTTACATTAGCGTTTGAACTCCGCTATCATCTACGACCGGGACTTCTCCTACAACTTCTTTGGATTTAAGGTGATTTTCATTTTCATTTCCCTGTGAAGGGGCAAGTTTGTCCTCAGATTAATGAAGCCTTTATCTGCATTAACCTGACTGGCTTTGAGTTGTAATCAATACTGTGATGACATGGTGGGGTCATTCTCTCTTTTTTCAGACTTTAGAACGTTCCTACCTCTTGAAGATTGATGGGAAAGGTAGGTGTGGTGTAGAACCTACACATGTTTAGGTTACACTGATATGGCTTCTCTCAGTAGCAGCCAGGACTATCCTCTATCCACTAGAGCTGCATATCACATCGTGATGTAATTGTGATTATGTAGTGCGTATGTGCACTACTCACCTGCACTTTAGATAATGGGTGAAACGTTTGTCCATATGCTGGCTTTTTGGTACTATACAGACATTTGCCTACATCCCCAATTTGGCAAGCAGATTAGTAATGTGCCTGAAATATTAGACATGTGTGTTGTGGCACCCAAAAGTTAGTCATCTGTATGA